AAAAATGCCCAAACCTAAATGTCTTCCACCTCCAGTACCCTCGCTGTCTCGCCTGTGCTTTGTGTGTGTCCTCTCCTCTCACATCATGGTGGATGGCGCATCGATCTAGTCACTTACCCTGCGAGGGAAATGGACGGAAGGGGAGGATAGGAAAAATTTCACTTAACTCGATTTGAAAATTTTGATAACTACGATTTTAAAATTTTAATAAACAAAAGATGTAAGATAAAAGAGTAATAAAAATTAATTGAAAGCTTTTAAACCCACTCTTATAATTTTTCAAATCGAGCTTATTAAAATTTTTCTTTCTTTCTACTTTTCTCGTACCAAACGGACATTAGAGTGACAACCGAAAGAGCCTCCTTCTGCGGTCTGCCCTTAGTTGTTGACCCTTAGTTGTAGCACTTGACACCGCTACAATTCGCAAGCTCGCTAGAAGAAGAAAGAAGCAGTAATGGTGTCCTTGTGATTTTAGTTAGAACCTCTATCCAAACCGCTACAAAACCAACTTGATGCCCCGTTCTCTGTAACACACTTGTAGCGGTTTCCATCAATCACTACTACAACCATCACCACATTCCTATGCTGATTTTCAGCAGATTGATAGATAAAATTACTAAAAAGCACTGCTACTAATATTGGCTCCACTTAGTGCCAAAATAATGGTAGTGGTTACTTGAACCACTACTAAATAATAGGGGTCCAGATTGCTAGACTGCTAGTCTGCTACAAAACGCCACCACCAAGCCTCGCGCTACTTGGTGCTAGTTATCATGCTACAAACTAGTCATGCTTTGATCCATAATGGCTACTATTCCTAAATTTAGCCATTGGTTGTGACCGCCACAAAAAAAATGCCACTAAGATTCTTTTTTCCTAGTGAACAAGAAACAATAATAAACTTGTAATTTTGTTATCATTAAAAGCATATAATCAATTATGTGATCTAGAGGGACAAAGACTTTCCACTAGTGTTTAGCTTGCGAACTCTTCCTTCCCTTTAAATTCCAATGAACTGGTGGCCACATTTTAATAAGATTCTAACATATCAAGCAAGTCAACTTAATTCCCACTCATGGTTAGATCTCACTAGGGAGACAACCAAGTATACATAGTAGCTCTCACTAGAGGTAGAAAACTTCTTAAAAAGGGAAATTCAAATGTAGAAGGCTAATATTTCTTTCATATATGTATGTCTGTATTTGTGTATTGCTTCATAACATCCTTTTAATCTAATGTTACCTTGCCAATTGTAATAGGAATAAAAGCAGTAGCCACACGGCATACTTAGGTCTCTCCATGTTGCACGATGAGTCATTTCATGATCTTCCATGCCATCAAGTAGGGTTACCACTTCGAGTGAGAGAATTGCTTGAAAATTTGGGATGGAGATACATTTTGTCGGATGATACAATCATAGTCGGAATTTGGGGAGATGGAGGTATTGGCAAAACTACGATTGCCAAAGCTGTTTATGATAGAATTGGTGGCAATTTTGAGGGTAAAAGTTTCCTTTCAAATATTAAGGATGCATGGGACAAAGATAATGGTGAAGTTCTTCTCAAAAAGCAACTTATTTCAGATATTTTTGAAACTGACCTTGACGAGACAAATGTTGTTTTAACGCATGAAGAAGTGATGCAAGTACTATGTGGAAGAAAAGTCTTGCTAGTACTCGATAATATGACTAGTGAACTTCAACTCGAGAAATTGTTAAAAAATCTTGAGTGGTGTGGTAAAGGGAGTTTGATATTCATTACAGCAAGAAATAAGGATATCTTTGATGCCTTTATTGACATATCATATGAAATGAAAAGGCTAAACAGTGAGGAGTCTTTTGAGCTTTTTTGCCTGCATACATTTAAGAAATTTACCCCAACAAATGATTTTTGGGATTTTTCTGAGCGAGTCATTAGATGTTGTGAAGGACTACCATTGTCTCTTGAAGTCCTTGGCTCTCTTTTGCATAATAGGACAAAAAAAGAGTGGAAAAAAATAATGAATAACATGGCAGGAATTCCTCGTAGTCAAATACAAAAAAAGCTCAAAATAAGTACTGACTTATTAACTGATATGGAGAAAGATTTGTTTTTGAACGTAGCTTGTTTTTATGTGGGTCAGAGCAAACACTATGTCACACAATTGCTAAAAAGCTCAAGACTTCCGGTGGAAATGGGAATGTCGGTAATCAATGAGCGTAACCTCGTAAAGGTCATTAATGACAAGCTTTATGTTCATGATTTGCTGCAAGAGATAGGAAGGGAAATTAATCGTAGCAAGCCAAAGCTCAAATATAGCAATGATGTATTCTTAAGTTTTAGAGGTGATGATACACGTAAATCTTTTACCTCTCATCTTTTTGCTGCTTTAAAGCAAGCGGGTATTGATGTCTACATGGATGAAGAAAGAATTGAAAGGGGAGAAAATATTTCATCTTCCCTATTGGAAGCAATTGAAAGTTCGAGAATTTCAATCATCATATTCTCAAAGAATTATACAGACTCTAGTTGGTGCTTACAAGAATTAGAGAAAATCATGGAGTGTTACAAAACAATTCATCAAGAAGTTTTACCCATATTTTTTGATGTGAGACCTTCTGAAGTTCACAAGCAACAAAATGCCCTTGAAAAAGCATTGGAAAGGCTTACCAAGAGAACTTCAAGTAGCAAAACGAAAAAATTGACAATCAATTTAGAAAGAACCCTCTCAGAGGTTGCCAATTTATCTGGTTGGGATATGCATAATTACAGGTATTTTTAATTATTTTATTCATTATTGTTTGTAACAGTCCAACTCCTGAAGTTCCTTTTTTGTATTTTTCATAGCAAGTTTGAGTTCCTTTTGGTGATACAAGTTTCATTGGAAATAATCCCATATTGTGTATGTTAGGGGAGGGGGGAGCTATATGGTTTCAGCATGAGAATTATACACCACCAGGATGAATCTGCTTTTACTTATCTAAGTAACTAAAAACTACAGGAGCATTGCATGAAATAGCCAAGTAAAAATTAGCTGCCACCACAGCACAAGCTTTTGTGTTGTCATATAATTTCAAATAGGTAATTTATAGAAAATAAATGCCTTTAAAATAATTTCGATTTAATACTCATAAGTTAGGTGGAATTATCACTAGCATTTCTACTTAAGTAGTTTGTCAACAATGGTATATGAAAGCAAAATTGAGACAAAGCAAGAGTAATACAATATTTTCTTAATTGGTTGAGATTGTTATATGTTACTTGACATTGATAATTGGCCAACCACAAGGTCCTGCAAATATGTAGGTTTATCCTTTTATAATGAAATGCTTAATACTAAGTTAAATATAGCTTGTGCAATGAAATTTTATTTATTTATTGTTGAAATTGGTTTCATATAAGACTAGGAACATGTTCTGATTTAAACTATATAGAAATTTTGATCATGAAATTGTTTTGGCATAGTCCAGAAGACTATCATTTTTGTTGCTATTATAGTGTGTACCTTGTATTTTAAGGATTCTTGGCAGAGTATGTTCTTATCTAATTTCTTATTGTTTCTAGAACTGAAACTGAGCTGATTGATGAAGTCATTGAAACTATTACAAAGAAGTTAGGTGACAGAAAAAGCCTATTTGTTACTCACCATCCAGTGGGTTTGAAGTCTCGTATGCAAGATATCCTCCATTTGCTACAAAGTAAATCAAAATATGTTATCATCGTAGGCATTTGGGGGATGGGGGGGATTGGCAAGACATCGATTGCTAAAGCCATCTACAATCAAGTTGGTCAAAGTTTTGAAGGAAAGTGTTTCCTTGCAAATGTTAGAGAAGTTTGGAAGCAAGATAATGGTCAAGTTTATTTGCAAGAACAACTTCTTTCAGGCATTTTAGGATCAAGAAGGAGGGCACTACCAAATGTAGAAATGGGGAAAACTCTACTTGAGGAAATGCTTTGTAAGAAAAGAGTGCTTGTTGTACTTGATGATGTCAACAATGAGGACCAACTCAAAGTATTATGTGGAAGTCGAGAATGGTTTTGCCAAGGCAGTAGAATCATTATTACAACTAGAGATGAACATTTACTCAAGATTCTTAGAGTAATTCATGTATATACCATAAAAGAATTAGATAACAATGAATCTCTTGAACTTTTCAGTTGGCATGCATTTAAGCAAGCAACCCCAGAACAAGATTTCATTGAACTTTCTAAACAAGTAGTCTCTTACTCTGGAGGATTGCCACTAGCTCTTGAAATCCTTGGCTCCTATTTAATTGGTAGAGAAATACTTATTTGGAAAAGTGTTCTGGAGAAATTACAACAAATTCCACATGGTCAAATCCATGAAAAGCTTAAAATAAGCTATGATGGTTTGATTGAAGATACAGAGAAGGAAATATTTCTTGATATATGTTGCTTCTTTGTTGGGAAGGACAAAGGATATGTGACACAAATATTGAATGGTTGTGGACTTCATGTGGATATAGGAATTAATTGTCTGATAGAGCGAAGCCTTGTAAGAGTTGGCAACAAAAATAAGCTTGAAATGCATGACTTATTGCGTCATATGGGAAGACAAATCATTCGTGAGCAGTCAACAGAGCAGCTTGAGGAACGTACCAGATTATGGTTTTATGACGATGTGTTGGATGTATTGAGAAATGAGATTGTAAGAATATTTCTCAATGACTTAATTGCATTATTTTCCTATGTTTATTCATTATTCAATATGCTCTTTTCAACATTTTGTTGCTAATTATAGGCTTAAAGCATTCTCTTGATGACTTAACCACTATAAGATTTTGTTTTCATTTTTCTCTTTTTTTAATTGATAGGGAACAACATCTATTAAAGGACTGGCTTTTAACATGTCAAGGAACAATTCATTATACTTTAACGCTAAAACATTTAAGAAGATGAAGAAACTTCATTTGCTTCAACTTGATAATGTACAGCTTACTGGGAACTATGGTTATCTATCAACAAATTTAAGATGGCTTTGTCGGAATGGGTTTCCCTTAGAAAGCATGCCAATGAACTTTAATCTAGAAAAGACAATTGTCATTGACTTAAAGTGGAGTAATCTTGTGAAAGTATGGGAGCAAAGCCAGGTACTTATAATGAGTTCTTGGAATCAAACACTATTGACAATATTTGTATTTTGTTTCCATCTATTTATTCCTTTTTATAAATTATTTATTATATTTTAAACTACTTTGTTTGACAGTTGCTGGAAGGGTTGAAAAGTCTCAATCTCAGTCATTCTCATCACTTGACAGAAACACCTGACTTTTCAAAGGCACCGTACCTTGAAAAGTTAATACTCAAAGACTGTCCAAGTTTGTCCATAATTCACCCTTCCATTGGTGATCTTAAACATATTGTTTTGTTAAATTTAAAGGATTGCAAAAGCCTCAAACACCTCCCAGGCAGTGTATATAACTTGAAATCCTTGAAGACCCTTTATCTTTGTGGTTGTTCAAAGATTGAAAAGTTAGAAGAAGACATTGGGCAAATGGAATCTTTGACAATTCTAGATGCAAATCAAACTGCTATAGCACAAGTGCCATTCTCATTAGTAAGATTGAAAAGCATCAAATATGTGTCTTTGTGTGGTTATGAAGGAGTCTGTCGCGATGTATTTTCATCACTTGTCTTGTCTTGGATGTCACCAACACACTGTTCAAAGTCATTATCTCGAGCATTTCAGATTGTACCATCTTTAATTAGGGGCCTATCACATTCCTCATTTTCAAGAAGATGTGAAACATCAGAAGCAAGACCAAGCACATCTCAAGCTTCATGTCAAATTACTCCACCATTACTTGAATTTAATGAGCAAGTTCATATGGAAAAGTCAAAAACATTAATGAGTTCTTTGACTATTCAAGTAGGATGGTGCAAGAAAAATATGGATACCCTTTCCAACTGTATTTCAAAGGTGTTTCCCTCGATCTTAATTCTCTACTACCAATATGCATAATATGTTCAATACCAACAAAACACCTTTCTGCTCAACATGTTTAAATAATTATCGAGTTAATATTTCTGAGAGTTGAAGGCACAATAATATAAAATGTGCTTTTATCAATATCATATCTATGTAATATGCTAGGTTGTACTTTTTGCAATATCTAGTTTTGGTGCGTGTAAATGTATATGGTATGAGTAACACTATATTTACCATTCATCCCAATAACAAACTTGTTGGCCAAATATGAAATATTAAAGTTTTCCATTTGTTTATAGTGTCAACTCCAGTGACTATTATTTTTCACATTTTCTCAATTGATGATTTGTCCTTGTGTTCTTGGAATAGGGATGGAGAAATGAAGGGCTTCACTATTCTCTACCTCAAGAAAATAGTCCTGATTGGCTAGTTTTTGAAAATGAGGGATGTTCAATGTCATTTGAAGTTCCTCAAGTTTTTGGTCATAGGTTAAAAGGGATGGTCCTCAACATTATCTATTCATCTCTTTATGATAGCATGGCATCTATACACTCTATTGGTATTATGATAAAGAATTTCACAAAGGCTACCATGGATTTCTACAAGCAGGAAGTTGAAACAACCGCTTCTGATGAAGAATGGCAAAACATAGTATCTAATTTGGAGCCTGGAAATGAGGTGGAAGTTGAAATTAAGTTTAGTCATAAATATATTGTGGTGAAGAAGACAACAATCTATCTTGTATATGCTAAAGAAACAGAAAAGCTGATCACCTCTAAATGACAGTAAAGCATAAAGATAAGATATATTTGTTATATTTTAGTTAAATTAGATTGTCATGATATAGAATTCTCTTTTACTTATTTTTAAGTATATTATGATTTTTTTTGGTGTGAAGGATAATGCTTCAAGCTCAACACTTCATTTAAATAACAAGTAAGTGTTCTAACGGGGAAAAAAAGTGAGTAAAGAGTGATAGGTTGAAGGCTTTCTAACTTGTGTTGTCCACTTTTTTATGTTATTTGTTGGGGAAAGCAAAGAAACACACATTGTGTCCACTTCCATCCCTTATATAATATTCTCTTGATCACATTCATCCCTTTTGCTATGAATATGTAATTATATGTTTATCAATATGATAATTATAATGGTGCAATGCATAAACTAATTTTTCTTAATCACATGTTGCTGACCTGATATCATAATGTTGATATTTTGGTGACCAATTTTGCTACCTCAAATCAAGATTTTTGATTGAAAATGTTTGAAGATGATTATCTTCTGTAGGTGAATTATCTTTCAAGAAAATCACTACCATTAGTGTCTCACACCTCAACAGAAATTTGTTTCCTAGCTGGTCAAAGCACCAAGCAACTTCAACAATGGAAGTTGGCAGTACAACCTAAGCATTTTCTTAGGTTTGGAAACTTTTGAACATTATTTTATTTTATGTAACTTGGTGAATTATATTGATGGTATACTTAGAAATTAATCACCTTGCTTGGTGCTTATTAATCATAATGCTATAGACTCCATGTGGACTTTATGTACAGCTAGTGATAGTTTGAATGATTTATTGATAACTCCCTATATTTAAGTGATGTGAGAGCTATTTTATGGTGAATTTAGAGAGTTATCAAACTTTTGGATTTTACTTTGTTGTAAACAGAGGGTTTTTTAAGCATTTTTTTTCTAACTGTTTATTTTGTATTTGTGACTCTAGGTGATCCTGAGCACTGTACGAAGGGAACCAAATGACTTATGAATAGCATAATTATGTTTTTCCTTCTAACAAAGGTACTATAGACACTAAGCTATCTCTTCTCTAGGCTGGTGATCTCAAATCGAATATTGTTGCAGGCTTTAACTGTAATTGTCTTAAATTGTGAAACTTCTTTTTGCTGTGCTTCGTTAGCTTTTGAAAGTGAGGCATAGACCAAGTAATTTAGAGTCTCTATGACGAATCATATTAAGTGTCTTGACTCAAAAGTGTGATGTTGTGTGAGATGACGTATCACACCTTTTGAAAGGCAGTCTTGAGTTTTGTCTTAGTTAGGTCCCAAGGTTGGGCCAATTCATGCTCTAAACATTTTAAGCCCATTTGATTCAATTATACATATGATTGTAATAAAGCCCCTTGATTGAGCTTCTAAACAAATATCATGAAATGGATTGGATAATTGATATGGATATAACTATTTATCAAGAAAATGCTGAACAATTATATAAATAGCTTAATAAAATGAAGTGCACAATTTCTAATTCTTATGGTTCTTTTTATTAGAAAATTTTTTTAAGAAAAATGATCAAAAAAATACTTGAATTTGAAAATGACAAATAATTGATTCTAATATATCAAAGTCATTATAAGAATAGTCAACATAACTTACTTATCTTTTTGAAATTCAACAGATTTTTTTTTGGAAACATTAGAGATAAATCCCCATTTGAAAAATTTATTGGGGAATGGTCTCTTGAAATCTATGAAGGGTAAATGACCACAATACCCTTAATGAAGATAGATTACATACATGGACATTTCAGTTGCACTTGAAGGAAGATATTTTGCATGTATGGAAGTTCAATTGCACGTAACATTTTGAATAGGATAAGAGATACATTTCATACAAGGAAATTTAGTTGCACTTAAAGAAAAATACTTTGCATGTATAGAAGTTTAGTTGCACAAAAAAAGTTAAGATATATTGAACACAAGGAAACTTTAATAGCACTAAAGGGAAGATAATTTGCACGTATGGAAGTTCAGTTGCATGCAAAGAATCTTCTGTTAAGTGCAACTAAGTTTTTTTATGTGCAATTTATCTTTCCTTGTGCAACTGAATTTTTATACGTGCAAATCTTGTGTAATTGAACGTCCATACATGGAAAGCATTTTCCGTCCAGTGCAACTAAGTTTCTTTGTGTGTAATATATTTTTTCTTGTGTAACTAAATTTTTATACATGCAAAGCATTTTTTTACTTAGTGCAATTGAGTTCCATTCCATGCAAGCTATCTTCTATTCTATTGAAAATATGTTTTATGCAACTAAATTTCCATATATGCAAAGTATCTTCCTTTAAGTATAATTAAATTTCCTTACATGCAACCTATCTTTTATTCTGTTCAAAATATGTAATGTGCAAATAAACTTCCACCCATGCAAACAATCTTCCTTTAAGTACAACTAAGCTCCCTTATGTGCAATCTATCTTTGCCAAGGGCACTATGGTCATTTCTTGAGCATATTTAATTGTCTTGAAGGACCTGAATCTTTCACCAAATTCTAGGGGCCATTTCCCAATAAAATTTTTAAATGAGAATTTATCCCCAATTTATCCTATTTTTTTGTTATTTTTCTAATTTTTTAGTTGATAAACTAGGGGTTCTAGTTTTACTTACTATAAGTAGATCAAATCAAATCAATTTTGAAATTTAGTCATTTCAAATTAGTCTTAAAAATTCTATGAAATTTGTTACTAGAAATTTTGGAGGGTATAATAGAGGAAAATGAGTGAGTTTTTCTATGGTTAGAAAAGTCAAAGTAAAAAAAAAAGTTTTTCTTCCCATCCCCTCCTCCCTCTCTCTTCTAAAATTGAGAACTTTTACATTTGACGGGTATGGACAAGCATTAAACATCTGAAATTACAAATAAAACTAAATATGCTACTTCCCACTTACATGAAAGTATCCATGTCACTAAACTACAAGACTTTTGCAAAAAAAGAAAATCAATAAAAATTGACCAAAACAATCTTATCTCTTTTTAAAAAAAATATTTCTGAAGTTCAGAAATGTAGCTCACTGAAATTAACCCCTCATGGCCTCACCTCCCCTTATTGACTTGACCACATAACGACATTATAATGGTGAGTAAGTGCTTTTATGGAATTGAATGAAAGAATCACTACCAGAAAAAAGGTTTTTCACAGCGGTTAATAGTGGCTTTTCACGGCGATTTTGAAGGCGAAGTTGATAAAGGCGACGTTGAAAGGTAAAGAAAACACAGCAGTTGAAAACCTCCATGGAAAATCACGGTTATAAATAAACAACCGCCATGGAAAATGAAATTTCCACGGCGGTTGATTAAATTTCCACGACGGTTACAAAAAAAACCGCCATAGAAAGTTAACTTTCCACAGCGGTTTAATCTAAACCGCCGTTGAAATTTTACTTTCCACGGCGGTTTTTTGTATAACCACTGTGGAAAAGTTTTTTAAATGCGGTTATCTATATAACCGTCGTTAAATTTTTTTTTTTTTAAATTCTGCTCGATTTTCGTTTTTACCACTCGACAGTTTACAGTTCCAAATAAATGTAGGCAATGCAGAATACGCAGAACAAGATCAATTAGCTAGTTAATATATATAGCATTGAAATTTCTTTTACACAAAGCAAAAATAGAGAAACCAATAGAACTAAGGGGTTATGACCAAAGAACACGTATAGGCTAGGACTAGCAATTCTGAAAAAGAAGTAACTACTTCTATCTGTACAATAGAAATCATGAACATGTATAAGAGGGAACCAAGATAAAACATCTAACAATGAATTTTTTGGGAAATAACCTAACGATTTGAAATTTAAGTTTCAATATTTTGTATAAATATTGTTGATAAAGTGTCCCTCATCAAGTTGATGTCATCCATGAGATATGGCGCAGTATTTTGAAATACCTGTTAATCAAAAATAACATAGTAAACTTAGTCAAAAATGTGAAATGAATTGAAGAATGTCATGCAACGTAACTCATCTTTACCTCGTCTAATTTCTCAGTCGTTCCTGTCTCAATGATGTCATTCATGTAGCGGATGATA